CGATGGCCTCCAACCTACTAGCGAAGGCTTCCAACCTATTAGCGATGGCCTCCAACCTACTACCGATGGCCTCCAACCTACTAGCCATGGCCTCCAACCTACTAGCGATGGCCTCCAACCTATTAGCGATGGCCTCCAACCTACTAGCGATGGTGATGGCCTCCAACCTAATAGTGTTGGCATCCAGTTTGGAAGATGGGAGTCAACATCCGCCCGCACCGAAGGTGCTGAGGGGCAAACTTTTCTGTTGGAGCTCATTCAACGGGGGATGCATGTTCGTTCAACAGGGAAGATGTTGAATCCTTTGAAGAACTGACCCTGGCGAGAGGAGTTTGGAAAGCGAACTTATTCACGTGAAACTTACTCACATTAAACATCATTGCCTGACAACCCTCCATTTGATCCTAAACTTTCGTAGAAGAGAACTAACCAAAATAACAGCATAAAACAAAAACAAATATATTTTTTAATAGTAGTATAATGTATAGTATATATACAATCTATACACAACAGTCTAATAATACACTCTGATGATCAATATACGATCATGACCAAAGAACTCTGAATTATCTTGGTGACTGGGCCACTGTCCGCGCCTGTGTATCCCATTTCCTCTCCTTTCCCTTCCTCCCATTCCTTCATCCTCCCTTTCTCGACTGGGCGCCGAAGCTTCAGCGGCTGCTGCGGCAGCACTCAGAAGGCCGCCACTCTTCGGGTCCAAAGGGATGTGTTCGCCTCAAAAGAGCGGCGCCGCTCGCTGTGTTTGCTGGGGGCGCTCTGTAGAACTGAAAGGTTGAAGGACAGAACCAGGATCGAAGGAAAAGCGCTGAGGGAACGAAACAAAAGATTAGCCCCAAACATCAATTCCCAAAGAGACAAACAAGATGCATGGCTGACAAGGATTTCTAAGGTATAATGTCACGTCAAGAAACCTGCAACTGAGAGCGTTGCTTTCTCAATAAAATTGTGACCCTATGGGCGGCCTTTCAAATACTTCAGAACTTCAGGATTGCCCCCGGTGGCCTCTGGCTGAAGTGGTATCTGAAGATGTGCTCGGCGTGGTACCACAGCCTCAAAATGCACTCACACAAGAAGTCAGTTGGGTGCATCCTGGAACTTGCTTCGACCTTACAACCTTTAAAACGCTAGCGTTCCTCAAGCAAGTTGCTGTGCTTTGGCCAGTGACAATCAAACTGTTAGTGAAAGTTCAACATCACTCTGATGTAATGCAGTATGTGTGTGTGTGTGTTTGCTTAACCACCAGAACAAGTATAAACCCATTGCCACCACAGCAACAAACGCACCTGAACCCTTACGTCAACCGCGCTCCGAGCACGATCATCTTGCCTCCGAGCACCAGCTTTGCTGCCGCCGCCACGACTGGGGCCTTCGACACCTGGTGGATGTGGTAATGAATCGGTTGGGTGTTTAAGGATTGCAAGGAGAAACGGTCGCCCTGCAACCGGTGGGATATGGATATTGTCCCTGATGACTGATGGGTGATGATGGTGTCAGTGTTCTAAAGTGAGTATGTATGTAATGTAACGTAATGTAACTTAATGTAATGTATTGTATTGTATTGTAACTGTACATATTGTATTGTAATTGTATTGCAACTGTATTGCATTGCATTGCATGTATGTATGTTATATTGCTTGTGTGTGTGTTGTTGTGCATTGTTCAAGTGGCTTGGCCAACTTCGACAGACTCCGACCTCTTCTTCGGCATTGGCCCCCACCTGGCGTAAGCCTTCAGCGACACTTCGTTCCAGCTCGAGCACCAGGTCGTTGTCCTCGGTTGCCTGGTTGGCGCAAGGCAGAGGTCTTGCTGGGCTGGGTGGGCCTGGCGGGTATGCATTGTCAAGACAAACATGGGGTGTAGTTTTGGGAAGTCTGTTGTCTGACGTTTGGGATGGTGTTTGGAACTTTGGGGGAACAAGTTGATTCAAAACAATGGTAGCTTCGTGCCTGGAAGGCTCGGAGGGCTTGCGAATCTGATTTTATCCCAACATATTTCAACCAACACTCGCAAGATCATGCATGTATTCCCGCAAACTGTTTATAAAGTATGCACGTAGTCTTGCTAACTCTGGAAAACAAATAAATGTCTTCAGCTGCTTGCAAACACTTCAATCTTGAAGCTGGCCTGCAGCACCACGCCCTCAGTGTTCCATGCCTGGAGGCGGCAGCCAGAGGAGAAAAAGTTGATGCAGGTTCTGTGGCACATTAAGCAAACCATCAAGTTAAACGTTATCTCAAATACACTCTAGACCTTGCTCCAAGGCAAGACTTTCAAGATCCAAAAACATCAACATCCTTTGAAAAAAGCGGCTGTGGAACATCCGGTGAACATCTTCTGTTGCGCGCGCGCTCTCTCTCTCTCTCTATCTGCCGCAAAGGCAAGAAGTGCCCAAACATTCCCAAGGCATGAGATTTGCCACAGCCCAAGACCAAGGGGCCCAAACATTGCCTAAACCAGCCTAAACCACCAGCACCTACTGCTGGCCTCAGTCTGGTCGTGAATCGCCTACTGCTGGCCTCCAGTAAGGTCTCAAGGAGGTGCAAAATGCGGCCCTGTGGAGAACACAACACTTTGGCCTCACGAGGAACGGCGGTCACTGGGTGGGATGTGGTTGCGAATCGTCTACGGATATGGGAGGGGTACCATCAGAGGTTCAAATAGTTTTGACGTGTTTTTGGTCGTCTCTGACCGACATGAATATGTTACTGAACAAAGTTTGATGGCCGGAGCAGGTGTGGCAAACCCATCCATGAGGCGGTCAACGTGGTATACTGTATCTGACTTTATCTGTATCCCCTGCATAGTGATGTGAAATACATTGCTTGAGAGTGTTTGATGACAAACAGCCTCCAAGCTTGCCAAATCACCCGGAAAGAAGTGGAAGCTGAAGATCAGTGTTGTTGTGTTTGGACGCATCATTTTTCTGCGTTTGGACGAAAGACGTCTTCGGCGCCCGCACCGTGCCCAGCTGGTCAATGCTGCTCTCAATTAGCCTCGGCAGGAAAGGCTTCGGCATCAAAACGGTCGTCTGTTCTTCAGTGATCGAACTTCTGGCAGCTAAGGGCACAACAGAAAATATATTATATATATGGTGGTTGATCTAAATTCCTTTCATCTGGAAAGTGCCTCTTCGCAAAAAAAAAAGATTACTTTCGCGAACCCCATGTTTAACTTTCGCGAACTTTCGCGAAGTACGATCTTACATATTCAGAAGAAGTTCGGGTACATGGGTATATATAGTAGTTAAAGGAAGACTCTGATTTCCTTCTGAGCTGGTGGTCTGAAAAGATCACAGTAAGCAAACAAATAAGGGTCCCTTTACCTACAAATAACATACATGGTTACATGAACTTTCGCGAAAAAAAAACAGATTACTTTCGCGAACCCTGTGTTTAACTTTCGCGATCTTTCGCCCGGTTGGTACTTAGTAACCGAAATGGCTGTTCCATATGAAACTCCTTTCATGGACCTTTAGATCGATGCCCATATATATATAAATATGTATGATGTGCATATAATATAATAATATAGATATAAATATATACCATGTCGTAGTCATTGTATGTAGTTTGGTGAGGGTCGGCCCTACAGTTCTCATGTGTTGCTCACTGTTTGGCTCACAAACGAAATACAAAGCTCAGACAATGACACATGAGAGGCACTGGCTGATTGGCTTTGGAGTTGTTTCATGGAGAACTAGCCCTTGAATTGATCTGGGCAGCATACAAGATCATAGCAACCTGAAGATTAGGCAAGTAATCGGAATCGAACAATGGGTATATAAGGGACTTCAAATACTGAAGTCTTCACATCCTAGAGCCTCATTTTGTTCACAAACCCAAAAGGAGGAACATCAAAACCTCCCTCCCAGTCGTCTCCGTTGATTCGGGGGGTGACCATTCGCCAGAATGGTCATACCTGGTCCCCTTAAACTCTGGCACATCCGAATTGCCTGGTTGAAGTGGAATTGACAGCTTACCTCCGCCATGGGAAGAAAACAAAAAACAACCTGTCACCCACGGCTGCGCTCAAAACGGAGTATTGAATAAGTCCTGATCCAAATGTAAATTGCTCCAGGTTTGCGAAATGGACTGGCTCAAAAACCCAATGGAATCTCACCAATAAAACAATTGCAAAGAAACCAAAGGACTCCAAAAGACTAACCAAGGGCTCTTGCAGCCACTTTTTTGAAGTTCTCTGCGCACCTCTGCGACTCGTCACGTCTGAGACTCGTCTCACGTGTCGCGTGCGACTCACCACTGGGTGCCCCAAACGCTTTGGCTCTCAAGGTATCACCAGCTAAGGCGAAGACCTGTCAGAAGAGATGAAGAGAGGCACTGCCTTGAGGGCCCGGGCCTTGCCACAAGTGGGATACTTGGTGACTCTGCCACTGGCTCTGCCCCATCCACATGCGTTTCAGTCTGATCTTCAAAGCTGGAGGTAGAACACTGGTAAATGGCTACCTTGATTGAAAGTCTGGTGATCTCTTCATGTACTATCATCTAGCTTGAGCAGGTGCCCTTTTGATCTTCCTCGTCTGTGGTCCATCTTGGTCCCTCAGCCTCAGCCCGTTGGTTTACTGATGCTATATAATTACAATTACTGATGTTTACTGGCTGAAGGCACCCCGTCAATCCAAAAATTAACTCACTCAACCAAAGCAAAGTGAAAGCGTAGGTCTTAAGGATGCTGCTAATACAGCAATAAAAAGCCCGAAAAGAGCCTGGAACTTCCCACTTCTTGCTCAAGGACCGATGTCGCAGCGCCTTCGCTCTTCGGTGAAGCTCTAAGCCGAGGTCGATGACCATCAAGCCCTGCCGACCACGGTTGGCCCAAAGGCCCAAAGAGGTGGGCATGAATTGTGGCTACAAATGTCTATCTTCTCGGGGTTCCCACTTTCCCAGTCTGGCTGTATGCCGTGTATGCCGAAAACAAAGGAAAACAACACACATGATTTCCTATTGAAGGCTTGGTCTAACAGATGAGGGGACCTGTGCAAACCAGGCCAAGATGACCCTCTTTACGCTCACTAGATTTTTTGATGAAAATACCTCCATGAAATGGAAGCGGTCTGTGTGAAACTTTATAGGGAGAAGACTCCCAATCAATGGGTTTCCTCCTCCAGTTTCCTCCCTTTCTCCATTTGATGATTTGTGTATGTCATGAAGGTATATAACGGGTTGAACATTTAATGCTTGATGATCTTGGCAAGACACAGCGCGAGTTCACAGTTGACAAACCTTTCTGGCAAATTGCATGCATGTCGAATTGATCGTTTTGATCTCAGATTGAGGAAGTCACAGCAATCTTTGTCTCAACGTTTTGTCTATCAAATCAGTTCAGAGGTGCAGAGACGAGCAGGATCGTGGATCTAGACCTCCCCCAAAAGACCTCCCCCTGCATCATCGGGTAAGGCGGAAGGCCGAAACGGCGCAGAAGTGACCATTGCTTTTGCCTCCAAAAGAACACCCCTGGTCTTCTTACTGACCCTGTCCTTGTCCCTGAGGGGGTCTCCCGAGGAGAGCTGGAAAACTGAGTGATGAGCAGGAAGTTGTTGGCCGAAAAGCAAGCAACACTATCATGAACTATCCAATTCGAAGGTATAATAGAAAGTCCGTAAGTAATGGTTCAATAAACAACATGTTTTTTGTGTTTCAACAGCAGGCTATGAAAATCCACGGAGTCTGGTTTAGGAATTGGTTTATATAACAAGGACATTACAATAATTGAAAAAAATCCTTTCCTGTCCATGTTTCTCTTGAATTCCTGGGTGCTGAAAGAAAGCTAAGAGAATCAGTGGTTTTGTTCAGCGGTTATGTTAACGCAAATCTGTTTTTTTCAAATCTTGATATTATGCCGAGCACCTAAACAATTCATATAAAAATATTCCGGGGTGCCTGTGCTTGACATGTTGTTTTGACATGTTTTGACACTAAATGTTGACAGAAAGATTAGACATGTGCACTCTCAGGAAAGAACAGCAAGCAATAGAGAAGCCAAAGGAAACACTCGGAACCCAATCAAAAACTAAGTGGTGGTTGTTGTTGTTGTGGCGCTTAGAGCCAAGCGAGAGGAGAAGAACACAACAAAGATTCTAATCCCCCAAAACGATTCTGCAATATATTTGCGACACTGTTGCTTATGATTCCATACCACTCGACATACCCAGACCAACCAAATGTATGGAATAACTACTTAGACTTACTTGGATGGGGTCCAATGGTGGTAGTTCTAATGTTAAGTTTCACTACAAATCTAGGAACCAAATCATTGGTGCGAGCGCTTCTTCAAGGAAGCTATCCTGCGTCCTGTCCATAGTAGCTACCTAGCTACTACAGCGAAAGAACTGGCTACCTACCTAGCAACCTACCTACCTAGCTACCTCACGGCATACCCCCCGGAACAGAAGAACACGATAGTAACAAATATGTAAAAAAAATATATATATATATATATGAGCGCTTGACGAAATCTATGGTTACTTTGAATGCCATCAGCATCTTGGGTTGGCCCCCTATCGGTTGCCATGGTTTCACACTCCTTCATGGAGTAGCAAGTTGGAGGTATCGGTTGCCTGTTATTTTTTCACCCTGGGTGGGTGAAGCAATCTTGGAAACCACTGTACATCTTTACATTCTGTACATTGCATGCCAGAAAGGAAGCATCAAGAGGAAGTGGAAGAGCTTGAGTCGGTGGAGCTCTCATCACTTTCCAAGTGGGCTCTTATCTTTTGCTGGAGTACCTGGGCCTTGATTTTGTTTCGCGCCCTTTGTCTTTGCAATCTTTGCTGCCTCTTTGCAACTTCATCCTGGAAAGCTGAATCATCAGGCTCCAACATGTATTTCAAGTCGGCCCCACCTTCCAAGTGGCTGCCTCCAATGGCTTGGGCTTGGTGGCCCACGCATCTTTCCCACTGCCATAGAAGCCCTTGCGATAAGGGGTATCGAGGCTTGGTGCAGGTTCATCATAAACACTGGTGGTGAGTTCCAAGGAGCAAGGACGGTTGGGAAGTGCATGGTTGAAGGTTCTAGCACCATATATAGGAATACGTGGTGCTGGCAGGGATGCCACTGAAGCAGTAAGTCCGCGTGATTTGGAAATCTCCTGTGCTATGCAACAGGCGTCTTCCATACTGTGGTTTGTTAGAGGTATCAACCAGGATCTTGATGCATGGTGAGGAAGGGTCCTGCTGCCTCCTCTCTGCGATATAGTCCAAAAGCAACTTCTTCAAATCTTCCATTGTCGTTACGATGCATCTCTTCCTTTTTGCCCACTGCAAAGCAAGCTCCATCCAGCCAAACAACTGATCACACTCTGCCTTCATATGCTTCTCACATCCAAAGTGAGTGCGCACAGGGACCTTCAGTTGCTGGACCAGGTGCACACAATGGTGGTACATACTTTCAAAGCTTTTGAAATGACCAGCAGCATCTGACAGGATATTGACCTCATGGAGCTCAGCGGCCATGTTCCGTTGCTCCAGGCACAAATCAATGCAGTGATTGGCCCTTGTACCTGTGTGGTCGAGCGTATCGGAGATGAGCAGGAAGTAAACCTTCCCTGCCACAGGGTGCTCTGGTGTGCTCTTTTCACTGTGCTGAGACATAACACAGCCAAAAATGCTGAGCTCCATGCGGGCTGTAGCAAAAAAGCTTTCCCTGTGCTTTTGCCACATATTGGTAGGGTCATCAATTCCTTGAAGTCCACCAGCAGAGTCAGGGAACCAAAAGCAGGGCGATCAAGGAGCTTTTTCAACAAGGGCTTCTGGCGGGCATTCACAGCCCGGTGGAACAAGTACGAATCCAATAATTTCGACATAGCCTTGAGTTCCTTGTCCACTTGAATCTCGACATTTCTCAAATCTAAGCGCTGGTTCTGGGGAAAGCCGCTACCACGCACGTGCAGCAAAGAAAGGCCACATGGAAAACTAGCTGCGCATGAAGTGCAAATCAAAGATCTGCTACGAATCCTGAGAGCACTTCGCGCATGTGCACATGTCGCCTGACCCCCCCTCGAGCTCTTTTCAGCTCAGAGAAGTATTTGCTCCACGCTCGCACCACTGGAAGTGCCTCTGGGACAGCTGAAATGACATGCGTGCTTCTCGATATTCCGAGATGCCTGCAAGCCTTGCTACAAGAAAGGCGTTGGCTACCTGTCACCACAGAAACCGCAGACTTGCCACTGCCACTCGCCCTCATCTCCCATGCGACACGGTGCTTTGGTCGGTCGCAAATCCCACGCAGTGTTTGGTGTGCGCAAACGTACGTCCATGTGGGTTGCCTGCTAAGCTCACCATTCTAGAGCAAGCGGCGTGTAGAGCATCATAAACATGGTCAGGTAGTGGGTCTGGTGGTGAAGGAACCCACGGCCGCTTTCCACGAATCCGGGTAGGAGGCATCATAGACTTGGGAGTTGGCGCATCTGCAAGCTTCCCTAGGTTCTTTTCAGGGATCGCCGTCGCCTACAGGGAACGATTTTCACTTTTAAAGAAATGCACACCTTGCCCTCATCCAAAGCCCTTTTCCCGCATAGTGCCTCTGTGAACTGGGCCTGCTCAAAGACTTTGTTTTCTGAAAGCTGGACTTCCTGAGAGGCATTGTCTTCTGAAAGCTGGGCTTCCTGAGGGACATCGTCTTTTGAAAGCTGGACTTCCTGAGGGACGTTTTCTTCTGGATGCTGGACGTCCTCGGGGAGTTTGTCTTGAACTTACTCACTCAACACATCTTGGCTGGATGTGGTGGGCTCAAACTCAGGCACGCGCCACCACGACCACCACCACTAAATAGAAAAGAAACAAAACCTTCTCCTGCAAACACCCTTCTTATGCAAACACTTCTTCAAAAGCATGTTTGGCATCTTCCTCGCTGGGGAGAATGGCCCTAAAGCTCCCAACTATTGGAAGGTAGGGAAAAAAGGGGCCTGCAGCCTTGACCTCACCAGTCAAGTGTTCATTCGAGTGCTCCACGAAGCCAGCAATGAGTGCTTTCCGCAAGGACTTGTATTGAACACCCTCTGGAGAGGTCCAAATTCCTCAAAAGAATGAAGGAATCTGGAAACAGAATGCCCATTGGTCTGGACACACTTAACCATTTCAAAACACGTTTTGATCCTGTCAGCCTTTCATTTTCTTTCAGCATTACTCTGCAGTCCAAGGTTCGGTATGTGTCCCCGAAGCGTGGTCCGCTCATGTAGAACCGCTCTTCCACACTCCAGGCCATGACACAAAATGTGGCTCACCCCAGCCACAAAAAGGCCACGAGAAGAAAAAGAAAGGTCAACATCTTGCATGACTCTCATGACATCATACCGGTATATCCTTCAAAGCATGTAAGTATGTACTAAATAAACAGGGGTATCGGTAACTGGGTTGGCCCCTATCGGTTATGCATGTTTCATGATCTCGACGGCGGCCCTTGAGCAAATTGATCATCCGTAGATTCTGTCCAATACTCATATATACATACACAAAAAACATGGGTAAATGTATGTAACTATTCATTCCAGTTTCAGGGATGGTCTGGGATAAGTCAAGATCCATTACCTCCCCAAGCCTGGGTGTCTTCATCCGCTTTCGGGGGGTGCACTGCATCCTGGAAGCCAAGGATGGAAGCGATAGAAGCAACCGTCGAACGAGGTGGTTCGGCAAATGGTCTTGCTAGAATTTGTCGCGGTTTGAGGGTTTGCATCTTGATCCTGAAAGTCATGAGTACACTGGCGGAGAATAGAATCCACTATATAGAATCCATATGTTCATTAATTGTTGTACATCACAGTCTCTACAACTTTAGAATTATGCCTTCTTTTGCACAGCAGCAAGCGTCAAAACGACTCAGGAAGTTCTGTTACTTTTAGTGGCACTTCCTAGCCCAGTTCAGAGTCGTTTCCTTCAGCCATGATTCAATTTAAAGAACCTTGACAATGCTGCCGGCCTTCCTAGCTGTGCAAGAAGCAATCACAAAAAACCAACCCCTTGAAAGGTTGCCACGGCTCTCTGTGAACAACTAACAAGCAAACCATAGTGAACCTAGCACGTGAACACATCTTGTTTCACAGGCCACTAGCACTTTCTTCTCCACCAAATTCTGACCAGTCCCACCTTCAGCTGTGTCTCTGCGCACATGCTGTAATGTGCATCCTGGCAAGTCTCCGCTAGGCCAAGGGCTCGATCCAACAGACTCTTGACATCGAGAAACAACAAAATAGCAAGGTGGTCATATTCGAGGCAGAACCCTGGTAGAACCCAACTTGTTGGGCAGAACTCCACGAGCGTCATTGGGAATGCGTAGGCCCGGCCTAAGCCTCATTGGATAACCTTATCAATCTAAGATGTCTGACCTGACATGAGGGCTACTAGTAACAAAGGAGACTAGGTGGAGGCCATAGCTACTAGCAACAATAAAGCTACTATATAGTACGGGGCATCGCGGCATCGAACAGAGCAAGCATCGAACGACGTTTTGGCCGGTGGAGCTCTAGCCCGCGGCCGGATGGACGATGAGTTCGGAGTACTTGTGGCTATATATTATGTATCATAGACTCATAGACAATAAATAACCACTATATACCATCCTGTACTATACATTGGAGTGATGACTGTGCACGGAAACATTCACTTAGCAAAATTCCATCCACACCCTTGCGTATTGATACCTTCCCTGCTTCCTTTCAGGGTTCGACTCACAACTGGTCACAATCGACTCAAGCCCCGCCTCACATGTCGTGGAGCTGCCCGAATCAGCTCGGGCCACCTAAGCAGCTTCAATTTCTGCGTGAATTTCTCTTGGAATTTAACTTAACTCAAAGTGATCTCATTACTTGGGATATAAAGGCATTGTTTCAATCAACTTTGGCATCTTTTTCCTAATTCTGTCTTCCTAAACCTCAACAGCTTGTGTCCAGCGCTCTTGAATCAGCACTTGCAAAATACAATCTCAGGAACTGGCTACAGCATGGGTACTAGCCTCATGCAAACGAGAAACAAGCATCTTGAGCCAAGCAATTCCGAGAACAACACACACCTGCCATGCCGTGGTGCAGTGCCAAATGCATCCACATGCAACATACAGTAAATAGGGGGACATGTCCCCGGTCTGCACTTGCCCAAGGTCCCAAGGGAGCCGCGCAGCGAACTTGTGGCACGTCATTTTCTCCACACGCACTGGCTGTGTCTAATGTACAACCGCGCCCAAAGACAGGGAGCGCAGTGGAGTTTCTCATGGAAAAAAAGCAAACTGTGAGTCCACGCTAGTGACTATACAGTATAGCCAGTGATGTGGTGTTCTGGGGCCTAGTCCCATCTTGGGGTTTGCAGGAATATCACCGAAATACTCTGTCGGGTTGCAAACAACATCAAGCAACAAACTAGATTGACAACTTGCAGCAGAATCAATTCAAACCAAAACTTTCACGGAATGTTGATGATGCCGATTCATGTTTCATGTCGATTCCTGTGACAATTTTTCCATGAGTACGTGGTCGTGGTACAAACCTACAGGAGTTGCCTACGGCAACCAGGGCTCATTTGCCTTCAGTTTGGTGGAGCATCAGCGCACCAAGTGCGTACTGGAGGGGCATGATTGAAAAAGGTAGCGCCCTTGCTACTCCCCAACCGATGATGGCATGGCAGCCAACATCTCAAAATATCTGAGAATCATTATCGCATCATCATCTTTATCAAGAGTTAGAGTCGAGTCTTTTGTTAGATTACAACTATGTTGGGTTTCAGGAGGGCATGCCCAAGCCCCTCGAAGCATTAACCAGCATTGGACGCCCCTCTCACTGTAGCCGATTGTCACCCTGCAAGCCATCAACGGTCCGTCTGGGCTGGGCAACTGACAATTAAAGGCTTCGGGCGATGCTCCGACTCTGCAGTGGACCTTTCATTCCTACTAGTAACGTAGCTTCTAGCTACTAGACTAGGAGCAAGTGCATTTCTACTAGTAACAGGGAAATACTAGTAACACAAAGCTACTAGTAGCAAAGGGCATCGCTACTAGGAGCAAGGACGCTACTAGTAGCTCCTGGCATTACTACTAGTTACTAGTAACAAGAAGCTACTATTTCCAAAATTCCGACTCGAAGCACATCAGAGCTGGTCAGCGCTCATCTTTTGTGGGCCTTTGCCTGAATGACTTGGGCCTATGCTCAGAGGTGTGTGTTCCCTAAATGATCTTCACAGAATAGCAGCTGAGGGCACCTTCACGCGACCCAAACTGGCTTCACATACACAACGCAGGTTTGGCGTTCTATGGGAAATAGTTGACAAACAAACTTTTCTGCTGTATTCTGTCTATCTCGGCGGGTGCCTATGTTTCTTCTTTGCACAGGATGCGCGAATGCATCCAATATCATGCGATATGACTTGGCTCCAAATCAGGATCACAACTGATGGTGGATATATGGTTTAGTTTCTTTTTGCCAACCCGCCCCAACAAACCTGCAGAATTCTTCGTCGCCGCTCGTCATCTTCAGTCATCCTGGCATTGCGAAGAATGGTTCTCTGTACCCACAACGAGGCGTAGAACGGCAACAACCCGACTGGCAAAACAACGAAAACAGCAACTTGAATCGCATCTTAATACTCCAAGGTCCCCTGTCTGTGTATATAAATGTGTATATGGTGTTTTGTGTTGCGTGTTGCTTTTGTTCAATTGAAGACATGGCTCTTTGCTTTATGGTTTCTTATAAGGACAGTCTCTGTCAAAATTCAACTGGGCATCATGTAGCTTCGTGATGAATCGTCAATGATGCAGGTCGAAGATTGCCAGCAGCACCAAGAAAACTCCCAACCATGGTGTGCACAAAGTGCCTCAGTCAAAAAGAATCTAACAGCATCAGGTACTGTCTCAAGAACTTGTTGCCCCAACCAATTGGATTTCTGTTTCGTTTAGGACTGGGAGAACTTCACAAACATGCACTCGGAGCTCCAGGGTTGTTGCCGCATGGGCAGAATAATCCAGCCAGCTCAAGGACTCTTTTTTGTTGGAGGATTGGAGGAAATACGTCTTGACTAAAGCTTTGACTCCCCCTCTCTTTCAATCTTCTATCTGGCAAAATCAACGCAAAAGAAAAGGACAAGAGAACAGCTTCTCTCTATTAGCTCCGGATGAAAGGAATTGAGAAACGAACAAAGAGAACAACAAACACATGTTTAAGGGGGGGCGATTTTCAATTTGTAGCACTTAACATATGACAATTCGTTGTTTAAGAGGTACTCAGGCCAAAACATTCGGCTACTGGGCGAACAAAGCTAGAGGAGCCGACCCTGCTCCCACCTGGGCTGCCTTGCTCGCAGCCGGATTTCATCCCATGAATCTCGCTCCACTGAGACCTGGCGACGTGACCGGTGAACCAATCGCTCACCCCCGGCTTTTCAGTGGTTTCCAACATGACTTTGGTTTCGTTCATTGGTTAACACTGGGGTTAACTTCTCCACTGGCCTACTCCTCGCATGTTGCAGTAGAGCAACTCATGGGGCTCGTGGTCCAGTAGATCCTCCCCATGAACAAAGAACAAATGTCGATGGTCTGTGGTGCCCTCAGCAAACAACTCATCCAACAAAATCCAACCTTTTTGAAGATCAAGGACAATTCGAGAATACAGCATGTTTGCATTCCAGTTGTAGTCCAATCGCTCCTGTTGGCCCTCTAAGGTGTATCTCTGACCCTGGAAGCTACAGAATGAACATGGAAAAGGATTGCGGCAGCCAGGCAACACGTGAAAGCACACCAAATCATTACTAACCACGGAATAGATAGGACCCATCAAGAAGATTCAACCTTTCACTGCAAATTTGCAAATGTCTCAGTTTCTTTCGCTCAGATGTAGATCTCTGCTTTGCTGAATCTCACTGGGATTCTGCCTTTTTCAGACCGCACTGGTACCCGCCCGCTCACATCCGCTTGTCTCCGCACCTCCTCGCCCTTAAGCCCAAACAGCCGGTCGCACGAGGCTTCCCAGCCTGGCTTTTTGGCTGAAGTTCCCTTCAAACATGTTACTAGGGGCAAGGACGCTACTGGGAGCAAAGGGCATCGCTACTAGAAGCAAGGAGGCTACTAGGGGCTCCTGGCCGTACTACTAGTAACAAGGACGCTACGAACGTAACAAAGGGCATCGCTGCGAACGGAGCGTTCGGACGCTACTAGTAGCTCCTGGCATTACTACTAGGAGCGTTCGGACGCTACTAGGAACAAGAACTCATTGGTTTTCCCTTTAACAA